TCTCACCCTCTCACCCTCTCACCCTCTCTCTCTCTCTCTCTCTCTCACCCTCTCACCCTCTCACCCTCTCTCTCTCCAGTTGCTTATATATAAACAGAGAAGGTCAGTATCATCGCTCTACAGTAGTTGGAGCGGAGAAGTGTGAACACTCCATCTTTATAGATATGTCTACAGATAACGCCCTGTCTCACATTTATATGTCTATATAAACCTCACATTAAAGGCACTTTTACAGAAGTGCCTCGATACACACACACTCACACACGCCAGTAAAGTTATATTATTTAGATCTGGGTCTGCGGGCTTACGACATATAAAGGGATTTTCAGCACATGAGGCTGCGAGGTAAATATTTTAAACGTACACTATAAAACTTATATTTTAAGAGTAACACGTTAATCGTATTATTCGCCTTGGTTTGTAGCATGTGAGTAATATGTTTGTGATATATTTGTTATATGTCTGTTATATGTCTGTTATATGTCTGTTATATATCTGTTATATGTCTGTTATATGTCTGTTATATGTCTGTTATATGTCTGTTATATATCTGTTATATGTCTGTTATATGTCTGTTATATGTTTGTTATATATCTGTTATATGTCTGTTATATGTCTATGATATATCTGTTATATTGACAGTATTATGTCATTAATATATCTGTGATATGTTTGTAATATGTCTGTTATATATCAGTAATATATCTGAAATAAGTGTCAAGTGTATCTTGCTCCTAATCTTAGTTCTCTAACACTAGTCTCCATCGCTACAATAAATCCAACAATGACTGCAGAACCACTACGACGCCGGCAACGCCCCCTGGTGCGACCACGGGCGACATGTTGTTTACGGGCGTCGCCAGGGGTAACGCAGCGGTCGTCTGCCTCGCATTACTGAAGTGTTTTCGTGCGTCGGTTGATTTACGCGATGCTACTGACAGGTTTCATCCGCCGTGGCGTCCTCCTCCTCCCCCTCTCCCCCTCTCCCGCCTACTCCCAGCCTCTCAGCACCTCTCAGCCCGCTCGCTCCTCCCCCTCCTCTTCGGCGTCGCCGCACGCATTTACGGAATTGAAACGTAACGGCATGAGCGGTCGTAAAGATGGGGGAGGAGAAGGAGGAAGAATGAGGAGGGGGAAAGGAGGAGGAGAAGGAGGAAGAGGAGGAGGAGGAGGAGGAGTGGGGAAGAGTGAGAGAGAGGAGTAGTGGGAGAGAGGAGCAGGGAAGAATGAGAGAGAGGCGGAGAGGGAGAGAGGAGCAAGGAAGAGTGTGAGAGAGAGGCGGAGAGGGAGAGGAGAGGAGGATGAGGAAGATGTGAAAGAAAGGGGAAGAAAGGAGGAGGGGGAAGGAGCAGGTTGAAGAGTGGGGAAGGGGGAGAGGGAAGGAGGAGGGAGGAGTGGGAAAGGAGGAAGGGAGAAAGAGGAGAGAGAAGAGAGAGCAGACACACACGCGCACACACCCCTCCCCGACCTTCTCTTAGGTCACGTGGCCCGTGGCTATCACTGGCATGATTTTCCGCGCGCCTAGCTGTGACGTCATGCGAAGCGGAGAGCGCGTCTATCGCAACACTAATTGCTTTTTAATTGCTGCGATCGACGCGCCACGTAGCGGTAAATCGCGCGGTTGATTGTTGATTGAAAGGAGAATTCTTTTCATTCCTAAATTCATTCCTGAATTCATTCCTGAATTCTTGCTAAGGCGGATGGAATGGTGGATGCTGTGATAGTCAGACGGATGTGGAGAAGGAAGGAGGAAAGATGGTTTCCTCTCTCGATAGTTTCCCCCCTTATGGTTGTTTCTCCCTCATTCTTGAATTGATCGTGGTTAGTAACGTGTTGTTTTCTNCCTCCTCCTCCTCCCCCTCCTGCTCCTCCTCCTGCTCCACCACCTCCCCCTCCTGCTCCTCCTCCTCTTCCCGCTCACTAGGTCACGTACGTCGATCGCTGACATGTAGGCATCCAGGGGATCTTCCTCCTCCTCCTCCTCCTCCTCCTCCTCCTCCTCCGCCCCCTCCCCCTCTCTCTCTCTCTCTCTCTCTCTCTCTCTCTCTCTCTCTCGCCCCCTCCCTCCCTCTCTCTCTCTCTCTCTCTCTCTCTCTCTCTCTCCGCAAAGCCTCTAGCCATACGAAGCGTTTCCATTATCATTGATACTTGATACTTGATTGATACTTGATTGATACTTGATTGATACTTGATTGATACTTGATTGATATTATCATTGATACTTGATACTTGATTTTCACTAGCGTATAATAGCAATAGATCGCTAGTAGGTGAAAGGATACTGGTATATCGGTAACACCCCAGTTGGCCTACTCCTATTTCGCCTACTTCCCATTTCGCCTACGTCCCATTTAGCATACGTCCCATTTCGCCTACTCCCATTTCGTCTACGTCCCATTTAGCCTACGTAACTACGTTCCATTTTGCCTACTCCCATTTCGTCTACTCTCACAATCGGCAATATTCCCATTTCGCCTACTCCCATTATAATTTATATTTTCTGTTTTTGTCAAGTTGTCATTATTTGTACCTACGTTTTCTTCTTGTTCCTGTAGTCTATGTATGCCAATCAAAACCATATTTTATTATTTATAAATGATAATTTAGTGAACAACCCGATCGTAGACGAAATGGGAATGGGGTAGATTTTGAGCGTAGACGAATTGGGAGTAGGTAAAATGGGTGTAGGCCAACCGGGAATTTTACTGGAGGCCAACTGGGAATTTTGCTGTAGGCGAAATGGGAGTAGGCCAACCGTGCATAAACCGTGTACATGTACAAGCGAGCGTCCATGTGTACATGTACAAGCGAGCGTGTGTGTGTACATGTAGATATACAAGCGAGCGTGCGTGTGTACATGTACAAGCGAGCGTGCGTGTGTACATGTACAAGCGAGCGTGCGTGTGTACATGTAGATATACAAGCGAGCGTGCGTGTGTACATGTAGATATACAAGCGAGCGAGCGTGCGTGTGTACATGTACAAGCGAGCGTGCGTGTGTACATGTACAAGCGAGCGTGCGTGTGTACATGTACAAGCGAGCGTGCGTGTGTACATGTAGATATACAAGCGAGCGTGCGTGTGTACATGTACAAGCGAGCGTGCGTGTGTACATGTACAAGCGAGCGTGCGTGTGTACATGTAATATACAGCCGATCATCGTTAATCAATGTACAGCGAGCATGCGTGGTACATGTACAATGCGAGCATCTGTGTACATCCCTACAAGCGCGGCTGCGTGTTACAGTACAAAGCGACCGTCGCGTGTGCTACATGTACAAGCGAAGCGCGTGACATGTACTGTAAGCAGCGTGCGGTCACATTACAAGCCGAGGTGCGTGGACATGAGCAAGCGAGCGTGCTTGTTGTACATTACAATGCGCGTGCCCAACACCGGCGGACAACACGTGTATCATGTAGAGTATACAAGCGAGCGTCGTGGTACATGTACAAGCAGCGTCCACACGGTGTACATGTAGAATATTACAAAGCGACGCGCGTGGTACGATGTTAACAAGCGAGCAGTGCCGTCGTGCTACATACGACGAGCGCTTGCGTGTCATCTAGATATACAATGCGAGCTTCTGCTGTACATGTAATTATACAACGCAGCGTGCGTTGTACATGACAGCGAGCGCTGCGTGGTACATGTACCAAGCGAACGCCGCGATGTCCTACATGTACAAGCGCCAGCCGTAGCGCTGTGTACATGTACAAGCTGAGCGTCGACGCGGTTCACATCTAGTATATACAAGCGAGCTGCGTGTTACATGTACAAGCGAGCTGTGCGTATGTACATGCAAAGCGCGAGCGGGTCCTGTTACAATGTAACAACGCAGCCGCGCGCGTAGCCGACATGTATATTATTAGCAAGCGGGCGCTGCGTGTTACTATGTACGAATACAAGCGAGCCTCCCGCGTGGTACATTATATATATATACCTATTATGTACCTGATGTTTTCTTTGGTTCCTTGAGCTCTGATGTATTGCAATCAAAACCATTATTTTATTATTATAAATGATTATTTAGTAAAACAAACCAATCGTAGACAAAAATGGAATGCGCGTTCATTTTGAGCGTTAGACGAATTGGAGTAGGCGAAATTAGGATATTGCTGTAGTGCGAAATAGAAATTTAGCCGTAGGCGAAATGGAAGTAGGCCAACGGGTAAAAACCGCATATCTCTCTCGGCTTCTCTCTCTCTCTCATTCTCCCCCTCTCTCTCCTCTCTCTCTCTCACTGTCTCCTCTTTCTGCTCTCGACGCTCTCTCTCTCTCTCTCTCTCTCTCTCTCTCCTCCTCTCCCTCTCTTCTCTCTCTCTCTCTCCTCTCTCTCTCTCTCTCTCTCTCTCCTCTCATCACCTCCTCTTCTCTCTCTCTCTCTCTCTCTCGCTCTCTCTTCTCTCTTTCTCCCTCTCTCTCTCGCTCGTTCTCATGCTCTTTCTCCCTCTCATTCGCTCAACCCCACCCACCACCACTCCAGCCTGTCCCTCCCCCAGCCCCCCCCCCCTCCCCCATACAGACACAGACACATACGTACGTACCTAGGAAGGAGACGTTGAGTATGTACTGATTGTACAACAGGTGTCCATCTATCTTCTTCATGCGTTGACACAAGCCAGCATCGCGCGGACAAAGGTCCCTATGCATGTTATGCAGGGCATGCGCCATCGCATAGACCGCGTCGATGACAAACTGCACTTTATTGTCCTGTTTAGTATTGTCGCCATTGAGTGTCAGACGAGGGTCGCACGTCGGCAGCGACGAATTCGCGACGTCGTCGGCTCTCGAAAGCCGACAACTGAACTTGTGCTGCCAGAATTCGTCGAACCACGGATTCCGCGAGTTGTTTCGCGGCCGCAACGAGAAAAGATAATCGTCGAATTCCGCCACGACTTCCGATTTCGGATTGATAGTTATAGCGCCCTCTGCCGCCCGTGCGCGTAAACCATCTACGACGCCTTGTTGGTTGCCCCATGCGTCACTGGCTATCAGGGTGAATTCCTGTCGCGCGCTCATGCGCCCGAGGGACTCCATGAAGGCACGCGAGTCCTCCATTCGAGTGAACATGATGACGCCTTTAGCGTTCGCTTTCTTTCGGAGACTTTTCACGATCGCGTCGAACGTCGCATTGTTCGACGACGTCGGGATTTTTTCCGACGTCGCCACGCAGATATTCCTCGCGCGCGCTTCCTGCACGAACGAATCTATCCCCGCCTGTCCGTAGTCTCCCTCGGAAGCAATCGTGGACACGTAGGTCCAGTTGAATAGTTCTACGATGTCCGCCATGGCTTTCGCCTGGAAGGTGTCAGGCGGGACTGTCCTAGCGAAGTAATCGAATCGAGTTTTATCGCTCAGGGCTGCGCTCGTGGAAGCGTAGCTGATCTGAGGGATTTTAAACAACCGGAGTAGGTTGGCGACGTGGATGGACACGTCACTTCCGGATCCGCCGATGACGCCGGCGACGGCCCTCTGGTCTGATTTCGGCGTCGGTTCCGACCCGTCCTGACATTCGAATTCGGATGCGTCCAGGTTGCTGAAGGATGCGCGAACGAACTCGAGGGATTGGTTGAGAGCGTACGTGTCCCGTGCGCACGTGTCGAGTATCTCTGCACCCAGACGGACGCGGGGCAGCAGGGAGCGATCAGAGTTGATGTGGTCGACTGCGAACATCATCGCTTCCAGACGATGGATCCCGCGCTCTTCCCAGATCTTCCCGCAGAAGCTATCCCGCGAACCTTTCTCGTGCACCGGGAACAGACCGCCGAGGATGATTTGACCCGGAAGCTGCGCCGATTTCGCGTCGGCGAGTCCGACAGAGACGACGACGGCGACGACGACGATGGCGATGACGAAGACGATGCTGCCATACTGGCCGGTGCACTTGGAGGAGCGCCGGAAGGCGCGAGCGGAAAAAATTGCCATGGTGATCGTCTGAGGAGAGAGGGGGGGCGGGGAACGGGTGTGCCGGGGAGGGAGTCAGGCCGGGGGAGGAGAGGGGTGGTGTGTAGGAGAGGGACGGGGGCTTCTGACAGATGAATTGAGGTGAACTGACCGTCGGCTGATGCATTGTCGCAGTGGATGGGGTGCTCCGCGCTGCTTGCCTAGCTCTACCTCCCAGCTGTCAGCGCTAACCACCCACTGCTGCCAGCCACTCTCGCATATTCGCCTGTATGTATCCCCTGCTGTCACGCTCTACCGCTCCACACTGCGCAGCTTTGGCCTTTTTGCCTGGTTCAGCCACTAACACCGCTGCTGCCACTTTTATTTTCTGAATTCTTTCTTGTCTCGCATTCTATTTTCTTTATCTACTTTGTCCAGATTGTTTACCGATTTTTTCAGCTGCTTGCCTAGTCTTTATTCTGTCGTTCACTGTTCTGTGCCTTTAGCTACTATCCTTGTAGTACTGCTAGTGTCTATTTTATTCTTATCTGTTTGCTGCGTCAGCTTTTATTCACATTCTGTTCTGACAGCTCTACACACTGTTGCCTGCTGTAGTTCACTGCTGCCAGCTTGTTAGCTCTTGTTCTTCCTACACCGCTCTCGCTGTCTGTTTTCCTTGTGACGGCGTCCACTTGGTGCGCCACCGTTGCATTCGTTATATACCGTATTAAATTGAGACTAAATATAGTCATTTATTTTTCTTTTGCTAAAACCTTAATTCTTCTCCTTAGATGCTTAAACTTTAACCTCCCTCTCTCCGTTATACTGTCTAAACTTCTATTTCCGCTCGTTATACTTACTGGTAACCATTTTCTCTCTTTCTCACATTCCTTTAAATAGTTTAACGTTGTTTTCTACTCCTTTAAATTATTTATTATCCCTCATCTTCCGTTTAATTATTCTTTATGAGTCTCTCTCTCATTCATATACGTTGTTAACCACTCTTCCTCCTTATACCATTTTGTACCTTCTCTTTTTCCTTAAACATTTTCTGCCCTCCTTATTCCTTATATCTCATTTTTGCTCTGCTCTCTCTCCTTTGCCTTTTAATTCATATTGATCTCTCCGTTTTCTCAATTTCCATTAATCATTTTGACCCTCTCTCCTTAACATTTATGATCGCCTGCTCTTTCCATAATCATTTTGACGCCTCTATCTTTACTTAACGCATTTGACACTTAATCCCCTCCTGCTTCTGTTCTTCTCTACCCCTCTCTTAACATTAATATCCGTCCCTCTTTCCTTTTTAACATTTCCTAATCATTCTTTATACCCGCCTTAAGCCTTTTGTTCCTTGCTTTAAGCAACATATCCAGCGTCATGGCCGTGCGTGCACACTAGCCGACAGGTGATGATATATTATATATTGATTGCCTGGCATCGCTACGCGCTACAGCTGACTGTCAGGCGTCCGCCTGTTTGCCCCCAGTGTACCTGTCTGTCTCTCGCAGCCCGGCTGGCTTCTACCACACACACACGTCTACCTCCCCGGGGGAACAAGGGGAGCCAGAGAAGGTCAGAGCTCAGCGTATGGGCGAGAGCTACGTGTATGAAATTAACCCCGCGGCTGTAGGCCAAAGCGGGATGGGGAGGGGGCAGATGAGAGGGGATAGAAGAAGAGAGAGGGAAGGGAGCCGAGAGAGGAGCAGCGGGGAGACGTAAAGTGACGACAAAAGAAACGAAGAGGCAAGAGAAGGAAACGAGAGAGAGTAGAGAGAAAGATAAAGAAAAAGAAGAGAAGGCGCAGCGAGAGAGACCGGCCAGACAGAAATGAGAGAGAGAGAGAGCAGAGAGAGGAGAGATACAGCCCCTGTGTGTATGTGTATGTTGATGTGTGTGATGTGTGTTGTGTGAGCGTGTGTGTGTGTGTGTGTGTTGTCGCGTCGTGCGCGTCGTGCCGCGTAGTGTGTATGAGAGAGACGCAGAGAAGGAACTAAGGAGGAAGGGGAAGAGAGAGAGAAGAAGAGTAGAGAGAGAGTGAGACGAGAGAGAGAGATATAGACCCAACAAAGAGAGAGACGAGAGAGAGA